TATTGTAATGAAGTCATTTGAATCAGTGTTTATCTCTTTTTCCTCTTAATTAACTAAAGTAAACATCTGATCTTAACAGATTTATTCAGGCAAGCGGCTTGATGGGGCCAATTCCTACTAGCATAAGTGCTTTAGAAAAGCTAACTGACTTGTAAGTACAGATTCTAGATTTTATATTTTCTAAATCTGCAAATTGCGGATATTTTGATTCTATCCTTTTGTTTAAACTCTGTTAAATATTGTTGATAAACAGGAGAATTAGTGATTTAGATGGTGGTCAAGCAACTTTTCCACCACTTAGTAGGATGCTCAATATGAAGACACTGTAAGTATAATTTTACACTGATGCATTTCCCATTTAAGTCAAGGGCATTTCTGTGACATAAATGATTAACAGATTCTTTTGGTTGCCTTAATTACAGGATACTGAGGAGTTGCAATATCGTCGGAAAGCTACCTGATTATTTGGGGCAAATGACATCTTTGAAGACTTTGTAAGTGCACAATTGGTTTCTTGTATCATTCTAGACATGAACGATATAACTACTTTTTAATTTACATCTCCTTGATATGAATTCTCTTGCAGAGACCTTAGCTTCAACAAACTCAGTGGAGAAATACCAAGCAACTATTCTGCTCTTACAAAAATGAAATACATGTAATCAGGCCTTTGAGTGATTAAAATTAACTTTTTTTTGCTATAAACTTCAGCTCTTTTGTTTCATCATGCTTAGATTGTGCAACATGACTGGTATATCTTCTATATTTCCTGATGACTTATTTATATCAAACATGTAATTATGAAAGCATTTTTTTGTTTCGCACATTTTAGGTATTTAACAGGAAATTTGCTTAATGAGACAATTCCTTCTTGGATACTGAAAGGACAAGACAATATGTAAGATTTTGTTTTCAATTCTTCATTGAAGTACTTTTATTCTAAGGAAGCTTTTTGACAAAAATTTCTGATTTCTATTAAGAATTTGATATTGAAATATCCGTACCTAGAGCTTTGTTAATTAGTTCATGCTCAAAAAGTAACCTGTACAATATTTCCTTATCGTGTACTCTATTTTCTTGACTTCAGCTCTTTAAGTTTACTAGATTATGTGAATCGATAGCAACTTATTCTGTTTGCGGTACAATTTAAAAGGAAAACCACATATGAATTTACAAGTTCATACATTTATAAAAATCAAACTGTCTTCATGTATAGTTTAGAGAAACTAGTGACAATCTGATGAATTATCACTAAACAGTAATTTCTTTTTCTCTTTAGTGATCTTTCGTATAACCACTTCAAAGCTGGAAGCCCAGGGGCAACAGGTTGTCAACAACAGAGTGTGTAAGAGTCTTATCATCTAAGTTTGTTCATTTTTGATAAATAGGAACTTAGTTTACCTAGCTATTACAGAAGAAAAAATTTGTTATGCAAACTGATCTTTACCACTAGTCCTGCTTCCTACAGGAATTTGTTTGCAAGCTCTTTAGGGGGCAATAATTCGTAAGTTTTAACTCTATTCTCAAAGAATATGCTTTCTAAAGATTTCATTGTGTTGATTCACTTTGCAATCATGATCGTGACATTTTTTGGACCTTGTATTGTATAGTATCAGAGGTGACATTTCATGCTTGGGAATCGACTCTCAATGTCAAAAAAGTAAGCTCAAATAATATAAAATGTTTGGTTTTGATGATAGCTCTTGGATTTTGTCTCTCATTTTGAGGGATAAGTTGCAATCTTTCTGTGAGAATCTAAATAAGAAAGGGGTTTCTGAGGAATGTAATTGAGAGGGCTGTTCTTAGCTTATGATAAAAGATTTAATTGCAGTATTTTATTATGGTTGCGTATATGCTTCATTCTTTGAAACATTCTTCCTTTCATCCTAGGAAAGTTCCTCAATCATCCTTCCAAATGTTAAACCCATAAAGTTTTTTTTTAGCTAAATTTAAACCTATAAAATTTAGCAGCACTTAACCAATTATTTGAGATTTCATTTGGTCTTTATTCTTCTTGAATAGTTAGTGAGCCATCATTTTTTTTTTTTCAGAATGGTATTCTCTCTATATTAATTGTGGTGGAAAAGGAGTAATTGTCAACGGAACCGAATATGAAGATGATAAAGATGCAGCAGGATCTTCAAAATTTGTTGAAAGTAGGAGCAATTGGGCAATCAGCAACACTGGTAACTTCTTGGATGATGACAAAGATCTAGACGATTTTATCACAACAAACAAATCTAAACTTTCTGTGAAAGATTCAGAACTGTACATGAATGCACGCCTTTCAGCCATTTCTTTAACTTATTATGGATTTTGTATGGGGGATGGAAATTACACAGTAAATCTCCATTTTGTGGAGATAATGTTCACTGATAATAAGACATACAGCAGCTTGGGGAGGCGCATATTTGATATTTACATTCAGGTAGCTAAGATTGATCTTAACTTCAGAAGCATTACATTTTTAGAGTTTGATTGAAATGAGTAAAAGGGAAAGATCGACATAAACCTGCATGGAATATCCAATAGCTGGAATACATAATTACAGGGAAAGCTGGTCCAAGAGGATTTCAACATTGCAGCTGAAGCTGGTGGGGTTGGCAAGCCTATCAAAAAATCATTTCCTGCAATTGTGGTCAATGGTACATTGGAGATTCGTTTATATTGGGCTGGAAAAGGAACAACGGCCATTCCTAATAGAGGAGTTTATGGTCCTCTTATATCAGCTATATCTGTGGATCCTAGTAAGTTTTATATATAACACTGCACATTTCATCTTGTATTTAATTTTTTCTTACTAACATTTAACTTGTTCAAGAGCTGTGCCCATGTTATTGATGCTTACACATGCATTTAGTATACCTCACAGTGAAATTGCATTGCATGTTTTTACTTGAGATTCAGTGCAACTAAGTAGCATTATGATCTTCTTGTTATCTTCATGATTTTGTTTGAGCAGATTTTACACCCCCTTCAGAGGGCAGTGCTAGTCTATCTATAGGAATGGTGGTTGGAATTGTGGCTGGAATGGCATCTGTTATTTTTCTTATCGTGGGTATCCTTTGGTGGAAATGTTGCAAAAAACAGAAAAACACATTAGAACAAGGTATCTCAAAGAAATCAACATTTAATTACATTAGTAGCTTTTGGTGAACTTTTGGGAATTTAGATATTTTAGTACTCACCTTATAAATGATTTTCTTAGCTTTCTCCTCTTCTGCAGATCTAAAAGGTATGGACTTACAGACTGGTTCTTTTACTTTAAGGCAGATAAAAGCTGCCACCAACAACTTTGATCCTGCAAATAAGATTGGAGAAGGTGGTTTTGGTTCTGTCTACAAGGTAGCACATACTACAATGTTTCCTTTAATCTTATAGAAAATTTGTTTAAATTAATATCATAGTATTTCTCAAATGTAGGGCCATTTGATGGATGGTAAAGTTATTGCTGTTAAGCAGCTATCTGCTAAATCAAAACAAGGAAATCGTGAGTTTTTGAATGAAATTGGTATGATCTCTGCTCTGCAACATCCCCATCTGGTCAAGCTATATGGATGTTGTATTGAAGGAAATCAACTCTTGCTAATATACGAGTATATGGAGAACAATAACCTCGCTCGTGCATTGTTTGGTGTGTTTTATTCATATTGTTTTCTTCATGAGCTTGTAGTATAAAACATTTCCAAGAATGAATATATGGCAGTTACATATCTAATCTTTTCTTTATTTGGTATTTCTTAGGCCTAGAAGAATGCCAGATGAAATTAGATTGGCCAACAAGACAGAAGATTTGTATTGGTATAGCAAGAGGTTTGGCTTATCTCCATGAAGAATCAAGGTTAAAGATTGTGCACCGGGATATCAAAGCTACCAATGTATTGCTTGATAAAGATCTAAATCCTAAAATTTCTGACTTTGGTCTGGCCAAGCTTGATGAAGAGGATAATACCCATATTAGTACTCGAATTGCTGGAACTTTGTTAGTATCACTGCTTCCATTGCCCTTAAATATTATTGAT